TTTCTGACCCTCAAAGCTTTAGTAAACATTAGAGGAACTTTAAATTGAATGAAAAAATTAACACAGTACTTATTACATTCAATAAAGCCTAAAGCCTGCCCTCAATTCAAATCAAGAATCTAAAAATCCTTGTAACAAAAGTTCAAATAGTATAGAACATCGTGTAAGTGTTATATTGTATAATATAGGTTATAAATACTCTATTTCAAAAGCAGAGATCAAAGGAGTTGGAGGTACTCAGGAAAGCTTTAAGGAAAAAAAAGGCTAAAATCTAAGTGACAGACAGAAGGTTGACTCAAGATTCCAAGTTCAACTGAAATTTAAAAAACAAAAATAAAATAAAGTGCCTGAAGTTAGACTCATTTTACTGCCAGAAAAAAAAAGAAATGGGTCTCTCTCTCTCTCTCTCTCTCTCTCTCTCTCTCTCTCTCTCTCTCTCTCTCTCTCTCTCTCTCTCTCTCTCTCTCTCTTCCCCTCTCTCTCTCTCCCTTGCTCTCTCTCTCTTTCTCTGTGTGTGTGTATGTGTGTGCGTGCATGCATGCATGCACACAAGGAGTGCATGCACGTGTGCTTGTTTGCATGTGCATTTGCATGTAGAGGCCAGAGGTCAATAATGAGTCTGTTACATTGTTGTTCAGCTCAGTTTTGAGACAGTGTCTCTTATTGTACCTAGAGTTTACCAATTTAGCTGAACTGATTGGCCAGGGAGCTCTAGGGATTTGCCTGTCTCTGTCCCTCTATGGTAACTAATATATTCTTCCATACCCATGGGTGCCAGTGATAAGTTTACTGATCCCCAGCACAATGTTAGCATACATGTCTGGCTAGTACATGTTTGAGAGTGGGGGCTAACCCTAGTACCCCAAAAGAATGGGAAATTTTCATTATGATTTGGATTGAGGAAATATTCATGGTTGATTATAGCATATACATCTCTTTTTCTCTGTATGTTAGTTCTGTTTCTGATAAAAATACCTGGAGAAAAGCAGCATAAGAAGATAGGGTATATTTAGGTTTATAGTTTCATTGGCGAAACAGATCATCATGTTGGGGAAGGCATGGTAGTAAGAGCATGAAGCCAATCTTTGACATTGCACCAGTAGTCAGGAAGCAGAGAATAAACAGGAAGTGAAGCCAGGCTATAAAGCCTCAAAACCTGCCATCAGTGACATACTCCTTCCACAAGACTATACCTCCTAATGGTTGCATAACCTTTCCAGTCATTGCCACCAACTGGTGACCAAGCATACAAACACCTGAGCCTATGGTAGACATTTCACATCCAAACTCCAATATCATATTTCTGTTCTTAAAACCTCTGGTGTCCTGAAATGTCCTTAAGATTTTCTTCCAATCATTTTATGCAGTCATTTGCACTGCATTGATACATTATTTTTTGAGACAGGGTCTCACTGTGTTCCATAGGTAGCCTAGAACTCACTATGTAGACCAGGCTGGAGTTGAACTCACAGATATCTGTCTGTCTTCTAAGTACTGAGACTAAAGGTGTGATCCACCATACCTGGCTTATACTATGGTAATATTTGGGTCAATCACAGAGTGTAGAGACAACATTGGTCTTGTAAGATTATAATGGAGGTGAAAATTCCTATCTTACAGTGTTTTGGTCATAGCTTGCCTGTTTTTTGATACCTAAATATTTGCCATTGTGTCACAGTTGTGTATATTATCCCATGAAGCAACATTCAGCCTAGGAAAATCGTGTACCTAAGTTATGTGGTATAAAGCAGGATAGCTGCCACCTGTGGCTGTTGTAGTCATACTATGGCAAATTATTAACAGCACATTCCTCAGAAGGCAGCCTTATCATTAGATGATAAATGACTCTGTATAGCTTGGTTCTTATTTTATAGAAATTAGAAGAGCCTCAAGCAATTATTTAGATTAATACCATAACTACAATCAGTCAAATGCAAGAACAAATGATCATTTGGTACCTAGCCACAAGATAAATATGCAATATAACCCCCACAGCTAAAGTTTAAGGGCATATCACAGAAGAGGGAGTAGAAAGGTAAGAGCCAGAGGACCAAGGTGGGACATCTGCTGTTATATGGCATCTTCTATATATGCTAAGAGAGCTGAACCCAGGAAATCACAATACGGTTATCTAAATAAGACCTAAAATAATGGCAATATCAGTTGGTATGACAGCATAAATTAAGGAATTCTTAAAAGGCTTCACCCTAAGAAGAAGAACTGTAGATAATTAATGGTTGCTGGGAAAGGGAGAAACAATCTCCAGAGATGAGACCATTGATATGTTAACCCCTTACGGGTTATCCAATCTTAAGAAGTCAGCCATTAACACATATGAGCAACACTAAATGATCTCAGCAGGACATTAATTTGAGAATTAGTAAAGAGAAGGGAGGAACTGGAGAGAGAAAATGGAGGTGTGTTTTAAATATAGCAATGCAAGTGTGAAATTTTCAAAAAATGAAAAAAAATAATGAGAACATTAATGAAATATTTATTGTGCTCCTATTATATACTTAGAATCATGTCAGGTAGAGAATATAAACACACAATCTGTATTATTAAAAGTTTTATAAATTTGTAAGAGGAAAGAAAGGAATAGTAATGTATGGTTCCCAGTGAAGACAATGAACCATTGTACAAATAATTCTTGAAGTATATTAAAACTTTCCCACTTCTAGGTGCATTCTCTTCTAACAACTGTCTACCTGAGGTCACACCTGAAGTCCACAGGCTCTTTGTTCAGTCCCCAGTCACAATTCCTTTCTGTAACTTCACCAAACAAAAGCATATCTCTCAGTCATCAGCAATTTTATTATAATAAAATTATTGTCGCAGGATGGGAAAATCTGTGATGTATCAAAGAAAGAAATAATTTGAACCTACATTAATGAAGTAGATAAAAATGAGTGAGTTGCCGGGCGGTGGTGGCGCACGCCTTTAATCCCAGCACTCGGGAGGCAGAGCCAGGCGGATCTCTGTGAGTTCGAGGCCAGCCTGGGCTACCAAGTGAGTCCCAGGAAAGGCGCAAAGCTACACAGAGAAACCCTGTCTCGAAAAACCAAAAAAAAAAAAAAAGAAAAAAAAATGAGTGAGTAATAGCTAAGCAATGTCTTTATACAACTTAAGTGGTTTCTAAGTCCTTGTTCTTAATGAATTTGAAGAAAAACCTAACTGAATTGCCAGCCAACAAATCATTCAAAATGATTTTGGATGATAAATCAGCATGTGATTCTTGGCATATAACTCAAAATATATCCAAAAAGTTAAAAAACATTGAAAGTAAAATTCACTTTATTTTCATCTAATTGTGCATGATGACACATTATACTCTGTCCTTAAATTTTAGAAATGAAAGAAAATTAGGAAAATTATAAAGCTTGTCTCATTCTAAAATATAAATTCATCCACCCACAAGCATTAACACTGTTGAAAAATATGTATCATTTTAAGAGACATACTTCCAATCACATTTAATCTTTTAATTATTTGTCAAAATTGATGTGATTTTGTTGTTTGGATAGTCTACAAACTAGTGATTCATTGCACTGAATTCATTGCATGTAATAAATAATCAGTATATTTTAAGTCCCTTATCACTAAATTAAGTTCAGATATTGTAGGAAACTTAGAATTGGAAAATCAGCTAGCAGAGGGAGAATAATGATTATGTTCATACATATATATATATATGTATATGTATATACATATATATATATATATGAAATAGTCACAAAACAACACACATCATGATGCTACTTCTATAAAGTGTTTATAGGTGTGTGCACTCACAAATACATATAAAATAATCTGGAAAACTAGTCAGTGAAATATCATACTTGCTTAATCATTTTAGTTCTATACATTTATTGCTTTTGTTTAATACAATCTTTTCCCTTCTTATTCAATGAGAATGTATCACTTTTTTCTCATGTATTTCTTTAAACTTGATCTAAATAAGTTAATATACATTATACAATTCCAGAAAAAGAGAAATGAGACACAAACAGTGTCTGTCTCTAGATTATAATACTATGAATTGTTTTATGTCTTCCTTGCCATTCATTTATGGCTTTTTAAAATCAGTATATGATATTTGGTTCATCAAAATATAAATTTTGAAATGTGAAGTCACTTATCTTGAGACTTGTGTAATTATATGAAACCAAATTTGAAGGACACACTTCAATATTATCATGTGGTAATTTGAGGTTTACTTCTGAGAGAGTGGTTTAGGTTAAATTTTTTTCAATTACCCCATATATATGACCATTTTATCACCTAAACCACAGAGATTCCAAGAAAATTCTGGTTGATGGAAGAGCTGAAGGCTCTAATCACAAACATAGACCAAAAAATTCCTTTTTCTTTGAAAATCTCTTTTTCTTTGGTAATTCCTTTTTTTTCCTTTGAGAAAGGTCTGAAGAGCTAGAACAATGTTTTTATATGTGCTTTATTCTTTTATTTAAAATGCAGAAAAGATGGGAGAAAGAGTCTATATGTTGTGCTAAATCTTTGTACTATAAAAGAAAGAAAGAGTAAACAGTAAAAATCTAATAAAGTAGTCTAGGAAACAAATGTGAAGTCAGAGAACAGGAGCTCTAGAAGTATACATACTCCTTCTGTCCAAAACCTGCCTTAGTATATTAACTCCATAATTACATATTCTGAACTTCTATAATCATAGATTTTACTTCACTGTCCATTTCCTTACTTGTCTAAAGGGAATAATAATAGCAACTACCTCTTAGAGTATGACTAAACTCAAGAATCTTTGAAAGAATGCTAGCTAATAATAATATTTTATAAATATTCAGTCGTTTTATAAATATGCTATAGTGAATTGATTACTTGTGTGACTCTGGTCAAATTAAATACATTATAATACATTCAACTTTTCACCAGTAAAATTGTCAAATAAAATATTCTGCTGTGGCCTTATAGGAATTAAAAGAAATAACGTATGGAACAAGGTTACAACAATAATAAAAAAGTGTGACCTGAAGGTATAGAGCACTGGGTTGACTCGATCCTCCTTTCTATCTGACTTTCTTCCTCAGTAGACTGGCCTGGCCTGTATGGGCTACACCACTGCACTCCTCTGGGCTCTGGGTTCAGCCAATGGGGAGCATCTGCAGAAGATGAAAGTAGAAAGCATAGGAAAGTTATTTCCTCTTCTGGCTTCCTCTTAAGAGAAAGGAACTCCTGTGATAGCAGTTAGCTTCTCTTAAACATACTTTTCTTAGGTTCCATGAATTCATTCCCTCTTTTAATCTCTTTAATAGTAAAGGAAATATTGTCAACATCCGATAGGACTTATGCTAACTCCTGTGGTTCCCATGGACACAGTCCAAATCATTATGAATAATAATTTTGTGAATAAACCCCACTCAAATTATTGTATTATAAATGTTCCATTTGTTTTCTGTTGAGATCTTGCCTGACCATGGCTCTTAATAAAGCTTATTGCTTCATAAGAATAATTTTAAAAGATACTTGTGCTAATGAAATTTAAACATTTAGAAGAGTTTAAAATCAGTATTCAGCTTTGTTGGGACAAAAAAAGCAAGAGGCGTTCATAGATGCCAAATCTGAATCAATTTACGGTGGAGAAGTGATGAAACTTAGAAATAACTGTATTCTACAGAGCAGTTGTCCACCAGGCTGCAGGAATCAGTGGTTCATTTGCTAAAATTTGTCTGTAGTAAGGAATCTCTATTGCAGAGGAAATAACTACTAACATCCAGAGCATATTACTACAGGGACATATGAGAATTATGTCCTTGTTAGCAAAAAGAGAAATTTCAATGAGTTGCTTCATTACAAAAAAAAAAAAAAACAGGTAGGGAAGCTTAATTCTACATGCTCTGGTCATCCAAAAGTCTTATTACTGCTCTGTGGAAATGCTTTTGTTATTTTCATCCTTGCTCAAGTAACACTTGAGTACAAAGATAGAGTGGGTTACATAATAACACACCCAGAGATTCTGATACGTTCACTGATACTTTCAAAGTAACAGAAACATCTCATATTTTGTTCTTGATATGGTACCAAGATGCTATGATAGCTTATATCAGATGTCTATTTTCATATGTTACTTAGCTACCAACATCTTTAAATACACAAATAATTAATAAACTCAAATATTCCAATTATCTTATTTATAAAAATAGGTTGAGTGGACAAAACTTGCCAATATCCATCTTGTGAAGCTGGAACACATGCGTCTCAAAAAATATAAACATTTTCCTCTTATGCAATGTGACAAATGGTAGACTTTAATAATTACAATACTGCGTGTGGCCAAGCAGATTTAATGCTGCATACAAAGTCTCAAATCCTCTAAGGCTCCTAACTGAGGTAACCGCAATCAGCAACCAGCTCTTGTGGATAGGGAACAATTTGGTGATTTTACCCTGATTGATGCATTTCCGGGCTATACTAAGAGCCAGGAATTGGTGTAAGTACATGTCTGAATAGGAAAAATTTGACAGAAAAGCGTGCATGCCAGGAAAAAATGAATTAGCACAAAGTGTGCATGGGGAGCATCTGAAAAGCAACATTAAAGGGGAGCAGAAAGCTGAACTCCTTTGACATTTGTGCACATTAAATGAATATTAATTAGGCACACTTTTGGCAAATTGCCTCTTATAACCACTGCCATCTGGAATCATAAATGCAACCCTAAGCCCAAACAAAGACTAATACACTGTATGATTCAAAGCACAGAACCCACAGTTAGTAGCATTCTCTTTAATGTATGGTTTACAAGAAAGAAGTATATTTAAAATCTTTCCTACAGTACAGCTAAGTATATTATTATAGAAAATTAAACTTCTAGATAACTTTTTCCTGCTAAGATAACAAGGTGCCTACAAACTCAATAATCCAACAGGAAAGTATGCATCAATTCAACTTGAAATATAGAATGTAGCAGTATGGAAATGTCACATTTACTTGCTAGTTATTAAACATATTTTTATGGATCCTTTAATGGGAGGACTCTACATGTTTTTATTTCTTGGATTTTGCTATCCAAATGCTTCATTGGTTCGACGGCACTTCTTAACTGTAATTAAACTATATCCCAAATCATACCATACCTGGAAATTGAACTATTCATGCTGTAAATTGAATTTCTCAAAGTGAATCTTTTATAAATAATGCACATTAACATAAAAAACTGTCTAAATGAAATGAGGTTATTTCTATTTCTCAAAGGAAGCTTGATTTGCAACTCTATCAACTCCAATAAGACATTTCAAGTAAGTTGAAGCAAGATGAACTCAAGACCCATGAAAATTAAAATTCATCTCTTTCTTAAAGGGGATATGTATTCTCTATGTGAATTTTACTGAATTTTATTTTAGAATCACACATAGGTATCTTCTCATTCATAAATCAAAGAACTATGGACAAGACAAATCAAAAAAATGAGTATGTGAAACAGTCTCTATTAAATCTGCTTAGATATGAGAAAAATACACTAATATTATTTGTGTACACTGTATTGATGATATTGGACACATTATTAAAAGTTCTAGCTCAATTTAGAAATAGGAATACAAATAATGAGTTATGGACTTAGTAGAGAAAATAAACTAGAAGCAGACCCACAAATTCCATATTCATGAATCACACTCATGCATATACAACAAAATGTGTCTCCAAACTGTTGGAGTTGACCCTTGAAGTACTTATTTAAAATAAATAAGAAAATAAATGAATAATTATATGTGAATAAGAAGAAAATGTAATATGGGGGTTACAGAAACAGAACAAAAGGATCTAATATAGGAACTAAAAGGAAGCAAGAAAAATCTCAATTGTCTTTTAAAAGAAATAACAGGCAGAAGTTTACAAAAAAACCCAAATAATACATAATCAGAAGTTTTGGCAATCCATGGGATTGCCTGATGTTTTTAGCCCCTAATATTAAGGAAATTGAATGATCTAAAAAGAGAACCTTGTAGTACTACTCTCCTTTGACCACAACCCCCCTAATAATCTTTTGGGAGAATAATTGAAGTTTTGATCATCTGGGTCTTAGGATAGGGAAAGGATTCCCATAAGAAACCAAAATACCCATATACGTACCATAGAGTTTGGAATCTGAATTTAAACTATACATATAACTGAGAGCACTATAGCCTGGAATTAAATATGGATTGCATTTTAAATTGTGAAACTGTGTGTGGAATGTATTGTTTCAACAAATGAAATAACAAGTCTCATAGTTCTCTCAGGTTTAGCCTACTTGACATACATGAATTGGTTTCCAACTGATTTGTCCTATGGTCTTCCTTCTCACTATAAAACAATCAGCTGTACCATCCAGATAAGAATTACTTTTCTTTTTCTGTAACCAAAACACTACTACTTTACTCCCCTCACACAGAGAGCTGTTTCTCTATTTCTAATTTGTTTTTAGTAAGTAATTAAATTTTCAATCACTAGTTATCTTAACATCTAATGAAAGCTAGCAAGCCCTGTAAACCATTCATAATAGTATTCTCAAGATAAACAGTTTATAATCCTTAGAAATGGTTTTTCTTAATATAGTTTTCATGTTTATTAACAGGTCCATATATAATTCTCTGTATTGTAGAAAAGATGTCAAATTCTCTATACTGTATAAAAATGATGTATCAATATGCATATACTTAAAACTTATAGTCATCAATTAATGTTTAGTTCCCACCTGTAAAGGTTCTTGGGAAAGTAACATTGGTAGATTTTGGTCTTGTCTGGCTTCCTGTTTCACAGTGGAATCTCTCACCTCTCTTTATGCACTCTTACCATGGTGTCACTTACTAAGTTGTACTATAGCTAAAAGACACCTGTCAAACATGTCTTAATGTGATAGAAAGGAAACTACAGAACTCTACAAAGTAAACATATTTTCTTTATAAGTAAACTATGCAGCCTCACATAGTCTTATGAGAAGATCCCAAATGAACTAATACAAAGGTGACATGTGATGGATAAAATAAAATGACAAGTTTATATTCGAAAGACATAAAAATTAGATTTCAGGGGTAAGTATCTTTGTTTTCTAAGACAAAGAAGAACACAGATAAGAAGTCCAGCTAAGACAAAATAGACAAATATGAGGCTTATCTAGACACGTTTTTCTCCTATTGAAAGAATTCCTATTGATTTTCCTTTACAGAGAAAAATTATAATCAGCTAAATGCTATAAAGCTTTCCTTTACATACCACTTATATTTGATAGATATTATTTATTTTCTTTTTTAATTTAATTTTTAAATATATATTTTAGAACATCCTATATATAAATTCCTCTGGTGCCCTGCCCAATTCCCTGTCAAATTAATAACTTCTTTACTTATATATAAACATATTTAATTATATAATAATTGTGTGTGTGTGTGTGTGTGTGTGTGTGTGTGTGTGTGTGTGTGTGTGTGTATCATGCTGAGTTAATTTTGTGTCACTCATATGTGTATTTATTTAGGGCTGACCACTTGGGATTGGATAAGGGGCTTGTTATTGGAGTTCACTGATTCTCCCTCTATCAGAAGGAATATCAATTGGTATATTCATTGTGCAGATCTTGTTCAGGCAACTATATTGTTGAGATTTCTTGAGGATATCTTTCCTATTGTATATAGAAAACACTATCTTGAACCTGACATCATAGTTTAGCTTTTACGACCATTCCAACTGTTCTGTGATGTTTCCTGAGACTTAGCTGTAGATCTTGTATTGTAATTGTAACAATAGGGCCTGGGCACCCCAGGGACATTAATTCTCTGTATTTTGATTGTCCCCATATGCTACAAAAAAGCAACATAATTTGTTATCTAGATTGATGATTACAGGGTGTTGTCATTTAAAATGATTATTATATCTGGGCTCAGCATAGAAAGTTCTGAAAAATAACTCAACATGCCTTGCCCAAAGGCCTAACTTTTATTAATATGGTATCTGTCTTCTTTTCACCTTCAGAATAGGAGAATAGCTTTTAAAAAAGGTTAAGAAATCTGTTTGCATTTTTATCAATTATTTACTTATGCTTAACATTTGCCTGTCAGGAGTCTTTTGAAATACCATATATTCAGGAACCCAATTTTCAAATATTTTCATGAATGAACAGTTTCGTTCATCT